ACCCGTCCAAAAGGCGAACGAAAGATTTATCCGCAATTCGACAGACACCTGCTCGGAAACCAGAGATTGATGGGCCGAGCAGGTATTTTTTTGGAAACCAGAGTTGATGACGTTCAATAAACCAACACACATTTATAAGCGTCTTTTCGACGTATAGAGAAAATGGTGACACTTCAACGTTTATCATTATTATAAAATTCCCCTATTAATATTTCTATATAATCTTTGATAATTCCTCACTGAGCATCTATTTAAAAACGTTTCATTATAAAAGTTTATTATAAACAGTTAAAGATATTTCGAAAATGTCGTATTTATCTGCTTATTTGCCTTCAAACAAAAAATAACCTTCACCTTTGTATCAGCACACTTCCGGAAATGACAACCGAAGAGCGAAATTTTATTCTAGTTGAAACTTTACTACAATTTTAAAATACAAATTTTAATATTTAATATTAGATTCTTTTTTAATAGTTGTATTCTTTTTGAGGTCCCCAAAAATTGCAGATTACTTAAACTTGATGATGAAATAATCACCGAAAAAACAATTACGAAAAGAAATGTGCAACGCGTGGAGCTACTTTTTAGTTTTTAGACGTGTTTATTTGCCGTGTTACAATGATAAACAATTATTAATAATTAATAAGAAATAATAATGAATCATGCCATAAATAAATAATGCTACATATGAATAAAAAGAATACATTTTAGGGTATGATCAATTATTATCACTCTCCACAGCTTCCTTTTTAAAATCTGTTTTGTTTGAGCAAAGATGGAGTTGTCGAACGTGGCAAAAATCATTTATATTTTGTTTATTAGCAATTTTTTAAAACCCTTGCTTCTCAACAGAACGGTTTTAAACCTGAATTAACGATGAAAATCATTTTCAAAATAGCTGTTTTAAAAAATTAAGCCATCATGAAAACTTATTTCAGAAACAAAAAGGAATCAAATATTTTTTAAACTGAATTGTAACTGTTCTTAATAAACAAAACAAAATTAATCATAAAAATTTTGTAATCAAATTGATAATCTAAACATCTTTTAAAATATGATTTGTTAAAATATTTTAACTAAACAGTTCATGGCTCTCCACAATATCCTGTCCTCTTAATAAATCTTGTCTTTTTGTTATTTCTCCTAAACCGAGTTATGCGTTGATTTTTTCTATGATATTTGAAAAGAATTTTTTTTTCAAAAATCACATGGTATGAGCATATTTTGTTTTGGCTTCCATTGGGGGGGGATCAATTTACAATGAATTTACATAGGAAAATGGACAGTCCCTTTTAAAAATAAAAATGGTATTCATGATCTAGAGCAGTGCTTCTCAACCTTCTTCCTGGTGGCCCCCACGTTTGGTGTCAAAACATTTCAGGCCAACGAAATAGAAATTCAATGTAACAGGAAATACATTTTATTTACAAAAGTAAAAATGTAGTAGAAAATATAAAATCCTGACTAATGATTACACTGCTGCTGGTGGCTATCAGCTTGTCAAGTTGAACTTCCAAGACCCAGTCTTTTCAGTCTTCACCTCCCCAGGCATTTTAAAAAAATTCTCAAGCCAAAAGTTGAGAATCACCGATTCAGCCCGAAGCTGGGTGAAGAAGAAATAGATTTACGCCTTTCCTAAATTTATCTGTGTGAAAGTGAATGCAACAGACTCGGCCGGAATTTGAACTTGGTTCGCCGATTTTACTTTCTGCTATGCTACCCGCACGTTCCGTGATATTATATAACAAAAGATGAAAAAAACTTTAATAGATGCATAGAGAGACCCTTCCAATGAAATTTCATTTTGCCATCATGTTGGTTCCAAACCGAATTGGAACAACAACAAAAATCCCCCACTCCACAAATTTATAGACAAACCGTACAGATGCATGCTGGGATTTCTTCCAAGCCAATAAGATAAACCACTTCTTGGTTTTATATGTCATATTTTATTCTTTCTTGTCTTGAAGTCAGAACGCAGCGATCCTTGTCTGCACCCGTTTTGTGTGTTGACACCATTCTTACTTTGTGGACTGTTTTGCCGCGTTAATGTTGCCTTGCCTACTTTTGTTTTGCATATAGTATTTGCTTAAGAATATTTTTGCACTCACGCTTTTCTTTCTTTTGTTATTTTTTATTGGGTATTTCTGCCAATTACAAATAACCATAGCCAATTACACTTTCGCGTTGTATGCATCCATTCTGTACCTTTCTAAATCTAGTCAAGAATTTCCAGTTTAGGTTTTAAAATCTTGCAAAAACCAGTCATCGAATCAACCAATAATACGCTTTATATTTGGTTCAGCTTCGTTTAGAAAGAAAAACACTATTTGTGCTAGATTTCATAGCGAAACAAACAATAGTCCCTTAATCACGACACAAGAGAGTAGCCCTTTCCCCCTTGGGAAGCTATCAGAATAATTGCAGTCGTAGCAATGGTAGAGGGGTCTTTTGGGTTAAAACTGGTGGGGCGTGGTATTAAGTTATCCCTTGAGTTAAACTGTATTGCTTACCTCATAGTGCTTGGAGACTTGAAATTCAATTCAGGGTAATGAGATACAGAGCAGAAAAAAAAGCAATATAGAGGTAGGTGTCGACAAATACTTACATACGGACGTGAAATTATTGTAGGTTTGTAACGAAAGTAACTCCAAAATATATCGTACTTGACGTCATAAAAGACAGACGGGTTCAACTACATTCTACTTCAGTTAAGAAGTGTATTTTAACATGTAATATTTTTGTAAAAAAGTGTATTTTAACATGTAATATTTAAAACAAGCTGTAAGAACATTAGTAAAGACCATTTCGTTTTTCTATAACAAAAACTATAATAATTTTTAAACACAAAAAAAAAAAAAACAAAGAAAACATTCCATCAAAGCTTCGAAACTCGTCATCAAAACTGATGGTATCACTGTCTTCAAATAATGCGTCATCTTCGGTTCCATTAAGGAACTTTGCAAATACCCCACTTCTTACGTCACAATAATGGCAGTGCTTAAATAAACTGGCCCACCCATAAAAAAAAAATAGAGAAACATTTTTATGAAAATGATTTTATGTAAATTAGTATTATTAAGACGTTCCTTAGTCCGCGACACTTGTCAGAATAAAATGTGTTATCGATTGACAAGGGGAGTCCTGTATTTTTCTTTCTTTTTTTTTTTTTTTTTTTTTTTTACAGTAAGGTTCACCATTTACAAGGCCCGGGGTCACTCGAGTTAGATGGTTACGTTTGGAGGTCATTTGTGTGCATAGAAGTGGAAGATAACGGTTAACCCTAGCCTTGAACATGTTAAGATTGTAGTGATCGGAGAAACATCCTGTTGGGAGTCTCTTCCACTAATCGATACATCTGCCTCATCAGTCATGTATCGAAAGATACATGATCGACTAAGCGAGTATCACGCATGGTACATAATTGATTAAAGATATCAGATAATTTTATCTATTATATTAGTAAGGCGTCGTATATATATAGCAAAAGCTAAGGCGTTGTCTATACAGCATACTTGGTTGGGGTATTTTGAAAAGAACCCGGATCTAAAGAATTCTAAAAAGTGCCAGGCTTTATGCTATTTTTGCACGGTCGGGTTATTTGAAAAAACTAGTTGAAGTAAAAGTGTTGAGCAGAGAAGAATGACAAAGAAAATTTTTTTTTTAACCATTTCACCCCAAGAAAGGTAACAAAGCCATTAAGACGCAAGGGGGTTAATAGGGGTGAAAGACCATAAGAAAAAGTAAAAAAAAAAAAAAATTATTAAGGTGCGAGAACAATAAAAGAACAGGAATTAAGAAGACGTAAGATAAAGATTGACATTGCATTTAGATTTTTGAAGATCAAAGGCAATAAAGCCACTAAGACGCAAGGAGGGGTTACTGAGCGTTAGAGGATATTAAAAAACAGACATTATTAAGGAATGAGAACAATAAAAGAACAGGAATTAAGAAGACATAAGATAAAGATTGACATTGCATTTAGATTTTTGAAGATGAAACTTGACTGGAAAATTCGAAGCTGAAATGGTTTTGTAACATAAGGAAGGTTCAGAATAGAATAATCGCACAGAGGTTGGTAATGAACGATAATACTTAGGACACGAACAACACATATAAGATTCACCAACGGCGCGTAGGAGAAATAGTAAATTGTTAAAAGTGAGTCAAGTGAATTCCACAATGAATCTCTAATTGCAGACCAACATACAGTATTTACTACTGTATTTATATGAATGGGGACATACCCATTATCGTCCGTAGGTATGCTACAACAAGGAGTTTTCAACAAGCCAGACATGCGAGAAAAGAAACTGTTAGCATAGAACTTACGGTTACATCTAGCCATTATACCATTAATATGGGAAGGTATATATATTCCTGAATCGATGAGTGGCCATATTAAACATAATAATTTTCTCTTTTCTTTAATTATAATGTTCATAAATTTTACTGGTTTTGCAAAATACTAGTATTTTTACTGTTGTTGGTGGCATCGTTCTTTGAAGAGAATGAACCTATTCTTCCTGTTCGATTATAAGACGAACTGTCAGCTACGCACACAAGATTATATACAAATATCACTATAATTGCTCCTTAGTCTGTGCAAGTGTATCTGTGAGCTTTCGAGATAACTCCACTAATTGTAATGAAATTAGCAGAATCGATATTTTTTCACCTTCTAGAATTAGCTTCCAAAACACCGCACATCAATCATCACGAATCGAAGGATTTGCTGCAGATAATTGCAGCCGAGAATGTCTTAACACGATTGGACGAATATTTTATCGACGAGATTTTGTATGTCACCAAATGTATGATTGCTCGTGTTTGAATGTTTTCGAGAAAAAAAGTATCAAAACAATTTCTTTTACTATCAGCGAACACGATTTGCTTGGATTTCTTCCCTGAACCTGTTGGAAAGAAATAGAGACCCGAGCAATCTAACACGAGCGGGAAAGTAAAATCGAACCCTTGAGCTCGATTAAGGATCGACCTACAATTCTTTACCATCATCATCATCGTTGTCATCATCATCATCATCATCATCGTTGTCATCATCATCAGCATCATCGTCGCCGTCATCATCATCATCGTTGTCATCATCATCATCATCGTTGTCATCATCATCAGCTTCATCGTCGCCGTCATCATCATCATCATCATCATCATCGCCATCATAATAATCTGAACCATCATCCTCATCTTCCTCCTCCACCTCATCATCATCATCGTCATCATCTTCCACATTTTCATCATCATCATCATCCTCATCATTGTCATCATTGTCGTCAACATCATTGTTGTCGTCATTATCTCATATTCTCTTCATTATCATCATCGTCATCTTTCTTCTCATCATCACCCTCATCATCGCCATCATCATTATCGTTGTCGTTATCCTCATCGTCATCACCGTCGTTTTCCGTCATGCTCATCATCATCTGCATCATCGTCATCATCATCATCATCGTTGTCGGCATCATCATCTTCGACGTCATCATCGTCATCATCGTCGTCGTCATCCTCCTCCTCCTCCTCCTCCGCATCGTCATCCTCCTCCTCCGCATCATCATCATCATCCGTACCAAGACAAGGTGTCGTCGTGTCACTGCGCAATTGAGCACTTAAGCCGCTTCAACCCCACCAATATTCAATTTGAATGTTGGAGACGCATTCATTCATCTATAGCGTGTCTTGGCCAATTAGACCTGGTGGAGTCTATCCCTCTCTAGATCAAACCACAGCCAATGTCCTCCGATTGGAAGGCTCATCTTTGTTACGAACTCTTAATTCCAATTCCAATTTAAAATGGTTCGACAACTTTTGAAAACGTATCTTATATAACGAACAAAGAACGATTGGTTGTTAAGTTTTAGCGTTCAATTCCAGCGATTTTCTTGGCTGAAAATTTAAGGCTTTCTCTCTTGTTATTTATTTTTCAAAAAAAAATTAAGCAAACACTAAAAGATCCGTTTGTTATTGGTCTCTGTTTTTATCTTATTTCAACTTCATCTGTTTGTTTACTGTCGACTGTTTAAACATTAAATATGCAATTCCCCTTTCGTTTCTCTCGTTAACCTGCTTTCTTCCAGAGCCTGCAGTTCAATTTTAATCTTCATTTTAAATCTATTCTTGTCATCTTCAGAGTTCTGGCGATATTTTGTGTTTTCTTTGGTACTAATTAAGCAAGTTTCATTTGAGAAAGGAATATAAGTGTCAAGTTTTTGTTAAAATTTAATAACCACTTTTTCTAAACCCGTTAAGTACATATTATTGTTTTCAAAGAACTTAAGTCTACACATTGAAACATACATTTTAGTCCTAAACGATATTGACAAATATTATTAGCATTATTATTCAAGAAGAAAATGTAAACATTCTATGGATTCTGTTGGCAGAAGGGTCCTTCAATAACTTGGACCTATTTTAAATGTGAATTAAGTTTAAGAGTCTAATGATTTTTTTCTTTTTCTTTCGGATTTAACAACTCAATCAAATCTACATTGGCTAGATAGAAGGTGATTCCCGTTAATAATATGGAAGATTTTTTTTAACACTATAACTGTATCGTTTTTTAAATTAGAATTTACTGCAGTTTGACCTCTTAAATAACAGTATCGTTGGGACAAGGCCAATGGCGGACTATATTACTGGTATAATGGCTAGATGTAACTTATTTTTTTGTCAATTTCAACCATGGAAAGATTAACAATCAAAACAACGTGTTAAAGTTCTCGAAGCCTATTACGAAAATGGACGTTCAAACAGAAATGCATTTCTCGCACTTCGCGGTTTATTTGGTCAACATAATCGACCAACCGAGGGTGCAACTGGAAAGGATGTAACTTTGTTGTGGAGAGGTTCAATTCCTGCGTGAGATGACGAATAGAGGGGTCTGGATTTTAGGCCACATTCTCGTGCACTGCAGCAATGTTTTCAGCTGAACGGCGTAAACGAGAACGAAATAGTGTTTTCGCATCTGCCACCGACCCAGTGTGTTTGAATTTACGAATAATAGTAACACCGTTGAACAATACAGGTGTCAGATGCCTTCGAATAACACTAGCACTAATAGTACTTGCTTGATAATACTCGCTAAATTAGTTACCACAGAATAGTGAGCCGAATAGTAATCCGTATATAGAGACATTCACTAAACACTCTACGCATTCGAATGCAACACAAGGCCAAGTTCATTATGGGGTTTCCGAGCGTCGGGTAGGTGTCTCTCGAGACAAGACTCTGCCCTTCGGCAGAGCATCGTTTGGGAATCCTCTCTGCCCGTAGGCAGGGAGTTTGACCAGCACACTTCCGAAGTAATCCGTATAGTGAAGTGAGCATTCACTAAGCACCCCATGCAGGAGGATGCGGCACACGTCCAAGTTTATAGCGGGGTATCCGAACCAGTAGTCTTGGTCAAAAATTCCCCGTAGACCCCGTAAAAACGGGGTTGGGTATCTGTCTCCCATCCCAGACGAGACTCTGCCCTTCGGCACAGCCTCGTCTGGGTTCCTCTCTGCCCAGAGGCAGAGAGTTTGACAAGCACACTTCCGAAATAATCCGTATAGTGAGATATTCACTTACCGCCCCACGCGGCCGGATGCGGCAGAAGGCCAAGCTTATTGTGTGGTGTCCGAGCCCGTAGGCACAGAGTTTGATAAGCACACTTCCGAAGTAATCCGGATAGTGATCACTTAGACGCCACGCTAATTCCCATATATACATTTCATTTACCATCACATGATCTACTTATTCAAAATGGGATCGCCTGTGCTTAGTCTCAGATGATCTGTGTTCATTTGCAGTTTTATCCAACTTTACAAACAATTTTTCAAATGAATTTATATCCATTATTGTAAAACTATAAACCGGATTTAAAGCAAATCCTACCACTAGGATCATAAATTCTACTAGGCCTCAGATTGGTAAAATAAGTAAAAGCATCTCCGAAACGGTAAAAAAAATTAAGGGGCAAAATGGACTAACACAAGGGACCAACAGCACCATTATATCACTTTTGTCCTTCCGTACGATAACTTTCCCTCACGTAAGATATCAATACCAGACGAAATCATCACTCGTCACTTGTCAATAATCACCGTTGTTAAGACCTGCTTTCTCTGCATTTTTTCGGCGCAGAAAGTAAGTAATGTTTGTTTCAAAATATATTAAATAAACTATAATTTCTAATTTTCTTAAAATAAATTTTGTAAAATTATAATTGATTTTTGAAAGATTTTTAAACGGATAATTTCACTTTTGTTTAAAAAATTGAAAAAATGGCTGACATGATCGTTTCTATTTCAATTCTGCTGACTAAAAAAAGATGTGAAGTTCTAGAAATGATTAAAAAATGTAAAAAAAAACTCAAAAAATACTTTGATCTTTCCTCTTAATAATAACATAAACATTGAGACAATAAAATTATTTTCATCAAGTTTAAGGCCGTTTTTATTCCTGCTATTCTCTTTTTTTTTTAGCGATTTCATGAAGGTCTTTAAGTAAAGGTAAAATACTGTGGGTTTATAATCCAAGTGGGTCATAGTAATATAAATATATTAAAATTGATCCACAAAGAGAGAGCTCGATTTATTTGTACAGAGCAATACGATGAATAATCAAGAAATTTCTTTGTACCTTACGTGGGGAATAGGCTATTTCGGCAGACGATGAAAGTAGTTGTCTGTCTTTTCAACTCCAATATGGAATGGAATTCGGGTTTGTAGAGCTAGAGGAATCAGAAAGTTAAAGTTAACTAAGAAATAAACATGGGAAGGTGTCAACCTGAAATTTAACATGCCAACAATACCTAATACAGAATTCACACTTTTCAATGTATAAGTCAGGCGATGGCACAGGACAGGGGTCAGGGAAGATAGGTCAATATCTGTCTTAAAGGGAAGAAGGTGTATTGAATGATGTCAGAGAATATTAAAACCTTTGAAGACCAGTTGGGGGTGTTAGAAATAGGATCAAACAAAAATAAAGCATATATAAGCTAACACAGACATAAAAAGATTAACTGAAAGAGAACTCGAGAAATATTCTAAGAAGAGGAAAATTTTATAAATTATAATAAATATAACATAAAAAGGAAAGAAAGAGTTAGAGGAGATAGAAGTGGGGGAGTGGTTTAGGGTAGCTAAATAAGGCACAGCGATATTATGGAAATTTGAATCTGTTTTTCTGTCGGCATTTGAAAACTAATTCGTTCCCCTGATTCAACAGATGGCTTTCATTATTGTATTTTATTATTTTAATTTTTTCTTTTAAGCATAACTTACACCTACCATTAAAAATATTAGGGGATTTGGCAGAACCTATAATTTTTCAAACTATTTGTGGTTTTAAATTTTTGTCCTTTTGTTCCTTAATTTTTTTGAAAGAGCCGTTTGGTGTTAAATTTAGGGTTAGAGAATGAATGCTTATGAGTTTAAAACCTTTGTTTCCAATCCCCCGCGGAAATTCCAATGTAGACTTTTTTATTATACATATTTTCTTCAGGGGAAAACTCACTCTGATCGTTCTGATAAGAAAATAACTCCTGAATTTGTTGGTGAGGACCTCTATCTAAACAGGGAAGCCTACTTCAAGTGCCTTGAGGAGGTAGTGTTTCCCTGAGTCAAGAGGTTGGCTACTAGAAGGCCCTATGTCCCGCAACAAGATTTGCACTATGCTACACTAACAGGAGAACCCAATCATGGCTGATAATTTCTGCGACCACGTCGTTCATTACATCTGGCCACCAAACGCCCCAGAGTGCAACTTCTTTGATTATTATGTGTGGGGGTGCAGTTGAGCGAGAGACCAACAAAACTTCTGGTAACACCAAAGATGAACTGAAGGCAAAAATTATGGCAGCTTTCACAAACTTAAACAAGAAGACTGTCTAGAAAAGCTGCAGGAGATTCTGGAGGTCGGGGTTGAAGCCAATAGCGATTTTATTAAATAAATTTACTCTTTAGTATTTCAATATATTTTTGCGTAATTTTGACAAATATATCTGTTAAAATGAGATGTCAGAGTTATTTTCATTTTCGCGTAATTTAGACGACAATTTATCCATCGTACACCGTATATATATACACGTATATTTACGCAGCTTATCTTCCTTCAAATAGGTTTCATTGAATAATATAGTCATATTGTGTCTACTTATTTTTATACTGATCCTTTCCAGTTGTCTAATGAGTTTGTTGATGTTGAGATGAGATTCATCAAGGAAATCAAAAATCAACCAATCAACACTCAACAAATTTTTTTATGAATTTAGCAGCAACACATTAAAGTGCATATAACATTTATTTACTAATTCTACATTTTACCACATTTCGGTCAGCTTCCTTATACTGAAACGTTTATTTTGTAAAAAATTCCATTTGCGTGTGTTTTTAAAAATCACCATGACAACGGAATGCAAATTTTATCGCAGTTACAATATGATTGTCTTTGTAATTTAGTCCTGAAGATGATCTTAGAAAAAGTCGAAAGTACTTGGGTTAAAAAACTACGGCGCCTTCTTTAATGAATTTCATCTTAACATCATGTAACTGATTAGACAACTGGAAAGATCAGTATACTATTCAATTAAAAAATATATATATATACTATTATAATTATTGAATATATATATATATATATATATATATATATATATATATATATATATATATATATCACTCATAAACTTATAAATGTAAGCGGCTTTACTCGTCCGGCAAAACCTTAGGTGTTTTAGCTTGTGAATGAACAAACTAATAACCAAGGGAAAAAAAAGGTAAAAAAAGGAAAGAACTAAAAACATGTACTTCCGTCGAAAATAATCGTCTAGAATCTAAGTTATGAGTCCAAAGAAGAAAGCCTCTGACACGAGTAAAGTAAAATAACTAAACAAAAGTGCTCAATACGCTAAGTAGAGCAAAATAAATTATATATATATATATATATATATATATAGAGAGAGAGAGAGAGATATCGATAAACAGACTGATGTAGATATAAGCAGAATTACATGTGTATAAACTAAGATAGATAAAAAGATAGATAATGAACAAATTAAGATATATATATATATATATATATATATATAGAGAGAGAGAGAGAGAGAGAGGGGGGTAGAAAGAGAGAAAGAGGTATGACGCTATGATAAAGAAAGAAAAACAGACTAAGAAGAAATGTGGAAGAAAAACAATCTACTGGCTGAATGAAAGGAAATAGAAGGAAAATTTCAAAAAGAAAGAGAAAATAAGAAAAGAGTGAAAAAGAAAGAAGAAAAAATGGTTGAAAGAATAAGAAAAAAAAAACTTAAAGAAAGACCAAGTCTTTGCCCCTCATGTAGTTGTTGAATTACTTTTCCCATTAGATTTGTCTAACTTGTTTACTTGTCGGATCAGTTTGATTAGTGATCAATCTATTTTCAGGCTAATCTATTTAACAACAATCTATTTGAGACAGACATTTTCTATGGAAGTACTGAGAAGTATAGCCATTATTTGTTTATATGAAAATAGATGGAAGCGAAAAGGGAAGAATTTAAGTTTGAGGTTCGTTTCCACAAGTCTTCTTGAAATAAACTGATTAGTCTTCTTTCGAAAGCGGGTAAAATCTTTAGCACTTCATAAGTTCAAAACATCACTAAGGTCCCGGAAAACAAAATGGCGAATGCATCCGCACGAAGGGAGATAACTTTTAAGAGACATCAGTAAAATATAGTCGCATAAATGAAAAATGTATTTCCCTGCGTGCAGAAACGGTGGAGTAATGGTTAGCGACTCGGATTGTGGAATTGGAGGGCCGAATTCGCTTTAGTTGCATTCATTTACTTCACACACCCCTGGCTAAATAGTCTTGATCAAGACTTGGGTGGCAACCGATCTACGGGAAGGATATATCTGAATTCAAAACCTCAAACTATGGGTTAAATAGCCTCATCAACCTGCAATTCGTCAAGTGTTGTGATTACGGCTACCCCCCTGAAGACATTCTCAATCAGTGGTCTTAGGCTTAGATAACAATTTACGTACGAGGAAAAGTAATTATAAAAAAAATGTCACAATTAATTTGAGACTTTGCACATGTACATGTGTGTAGTGCTAGAAATTATCCAGTTTACTTGGCTGTGCGTTTTTTTGGATATCTCAGGCATCAGCGCCCGATTCTCTCCCCTTTAAGTGCAATAGGGAAGTTACAGCCTTAGAAGATGCCCCTTAGAACTGGATTTTGGTTCATATCTATATACACGTGTTTATTTTTGAAGATTATACACGTGTTTATTTTTTGAAGATTATACACGTGTTCATTTTTTGAAGATTATATACGTGTTTATTTTTTGAAGATTATACACGTGTTTATTTATTGATGATTATACACGTGTTTATTTTTTGAAGATTATACACGTGTTTATTTATTAAAGATTATACACGTGTTTATTTATTGATGATTATACACGTGTTTATTTATTGAAGATTATACACGTGTTTATTTATTAAAGATTATACACGTGTTTATTTTTTGAAGATTATACACGTGTTTATTTATTGAAGATTAACAGAAGGAAAAAAATGGAGGAACGTAATTTCAAAAGGGAACATTTTCAAATGAAAGGGGCGCAAATCAGGATGTTAAATGTTATCTTTAACAACTAATCTTACTTTGACATAAGGCTACATGTATGAAACGGTCACGTGAAGATCGAATTTACTACTCATTAATAACAGTCAACCACTCTAGTCGGCTTAGCATTACCACAAGCCGAGGCATCCGATAAATAATTATAGAATGATCCCCAATAGTAGAAGAACTCGCTGTAGACAAGTAATGTTTAACAAGCTAGTCTCGCAGCTTATTATTAGTTCATTCAGTTCGAACCTCGCCGCCTGTTCAAAGTTTTTGCTTTACTGACCTAAAATGAAGAAATATGGTGTTAAATATACGAGTTTGAGGTTCTTTTCCACAAGTCTTCATAAGTTCAAAACATCACTAAGGTCCCGGAAAACAAAATGGCGAATTCATCCGCACGAAGGGAGATAACTTTTAAGAGACATCAGTAAAATATAGTCGCATAAATGAACAGATAACTACAAGAAAACAGAATGCAATGGTCATCAGTAAAAGGATGAGGTCCGAATTGGGATTTGCAGGTCGGAGACACTAAAATCAAGCAGACGAGGAAGTTTAAATATCTGGGAAGCGTTCCGACAGCACGGTAAATGTGACACTGAAATCCGTAGACGTATTGCGATGGCCAAGGACGCATCACAAAAGCTGGGGAGAATATTGCAAGACAGTAGGATTTCTTTGGTAACAAAGAAAAGAATACTGAGCTGTTACATGACATCTGTCCTTTCTTAAGGCAGCGAATGTTGGACGATTTCCTCAAAGATGAGGAAGAGACGACGGAGATGTCGTTCTACAGAAGGATGCTAAGGATATCATGGCCCGATCATGTGAGAAACGATGAGGTCTTAGAGAGAATGCAAACAAGGAGGAGGCTTATATTTAACACCAGGAAGAGGCAGCTGAAGTTTCTGGGACACATAATGAGGAAGGAGGGTCTGGAGAATCTGATACTCACGGGTCGAATAGAGAGAAAGAGAGACAAGGGAAAACAACGCATGAAATACCTAGTGGCCTTAAGCAAGTGGATGACAGAACGTGATCATGGGGGAGGTGGCAGAGGGAAGGAACTTGTTCAGAGCTGAAAGGGATAGAGAGGAGGTGGAGAGCCATGATCGCCTACGTCCTGAAAGAACACGGCACATAGAAAGAAAGTTAATTCTGATTTATAAATCTGATTCAACACTTTACAATAAAGAATAAACATTTGAGATTTAAAAGACATTTTATATCTCAAATGTTTAAATTTCTCATAAAGTGCATACCCTCATGTTTAGGGACCTTGTCAGAGATATTCATTTAATACAATAGTGTGTGAAGTTGGGTAGACGGAACACTTCGGTAGCCGTCGATGCTTGTACTAACATGAAGTCACAAGTCAGCGTGACCGAAAGTTTGAGCGAGCTGGCCTTGTTCAGATTGTTGATCACGCTAGATAACGCGCTCTCTCCCAGAAACTTTAACTGACGTCCACTCGGTATAGATGCAGTATAAACAACAGTTGGGCTCTGAATGTTTCCGAGCAGGCGTCTTCAACAGGGATTAGCTATCCGCCCTAGTAGAGTAGCATCTTCGGATACCCACCATTAGATTTTTAGATTTTAGTAATGGTAATGGGGAACTTTTTTTTTTTATGGCAATTCACCCCAAGCAAGGCGGGAGTGTCACTAGCACGCAAGGGGTTACAGAGGATCGGGAACAAGAGTAAAGAGACATGTTTAAGGAAAGGATACAGACAAGGACAGGGAACAAGCTCAGGGTGTCAGATTTATCCGTTTCCTTATTGATTAAACTGTTAGTGTTATTTTGTCTGTTGAAATTTATAAACTCTTTCTCTTCAACCAATTTTTTAGGAAAATAGATTTTTCAAGGCCAGTTGCTGTTATAGCTCCTTCTAGTATTGATAGAAGTTTCCTTCTTAATCTGATCTTTAAGACAGTATAGAAAGTCATTATCTTGATTATATTTATTTTCCTTCTACGCATTTTTGTTGCTGATGTTGAATGCATTCAAATGATGTCGTTTTTCGTTATTTAGTAAAGACGTTTGTGATTTTTTTAGAGCCAGTCTTTTGGGCCTGATGAAGTACTGTCTTTTTTAATACTTAAAGGATTCATTCGCTTGTAGCTATTTTTAATGTATCTATAAATCTATAGAACATTATTAATATCTATCTATTTATCTAACATTATTAATATCTATCGATCGATCGATCGTTTGACAATGTTGTACTACAGTGTAACCCGGATATAAGAGAGTTGTCGGGACCGGAGAAGTCTCTTATATCCGGGTTTCTCTTATATCCGGGTTTGGTCTATTTTATATACATTAACACAGGCTCTAATTTGAGACCAGAGAAAATCTCTCTTATATCCGGGTTTGGTCTATTATATATACATTAACACAGGCTCTAATTTGGGACCAGAGAAAATCTCTCTTATATCCGGGTTTCTCTTATATCCAGGTTTGGTCTATTATATATACATTAACACAGGCTCTAATTTGGGACCAGAGAAAATCTCTCTTATATCTGCGTTTCTCTTATATCCAGGTCTCTTATATCCGGGTCTCTTATATCCGGGTCTCTTATATCCGGGTTACACTGTATTTGCGAATTGATCTATTTTAAATGACGTTTTAATGTCATTTTAAATAGATAAAAACGCAAATATTTATCTAACATTATTATTTATCTGTCTACCTGTCTACCTAACATTATAATTATCTATCTATCTATCTATCTATCTATCTATCTATCTATCTATCTATCTATCTTTATTAATATCTATCCGATCTATCTATCATTATTAATATCTGGTCGAGTGCTTTAAACGTTCGCTTTCTGACTATTAGATCCGGGTTCGAATCTCACTAAGGTTGATTTGTCAGAAAGAAGACTTCCTGATGTTATCGGACTGGAGTGGGACTGTCCTAGCGTGCGACACCTTTGGAAAGTGCCTGAGAACCATACAACTAGTTGACCCAAGCCTTGTGAGTGAAATTGGGGGGCCGTCGATAGCTGTGTTAACACGAAGTCACAAGTCATCGTGACCGAGGGTTTGAGTGTGCTGACCTTATTCAGATTGTTGATCACGCTACATAACACGCTTACTCCCAGAAACTGTAACTAAGGTCTGCTCAGCATAGTTGCAGTATAAACTTCAGGTTGGCTCTGTGGGTGTTGAACAAACACAAATGTGCCTGAGCGAATGTCAGTAATAGGGATTGGCTAGCCGCCCTAATAGACGGGTATCCTCGAATACAAGTGGCCAGCTATTATTATTATTACTATTGTTATGTATCTAACATTATTGATATCTATCATTATTAAATATCTATCTATCTATCTATCTATCTATCTATCTATCTATCTAACATCATTAATATCTGTCTAGCATTATTAATATCTATCTAACATTATTAATATCTATCTATCTATCTATCTATCTATCTATCTATCTAGGAGGTGCATTTCAGAAGTTTTGAGACCTTTTCGGGAGAGACACATACAGCATTCTAATCTCCATCAAAGAAAGATACTTAGATTTCAATTTGTTGTCGGGCTTCAGTCACTTTTTTTATTAGATGGGCTGTAACGATATGCTAAAATTACGAAAATCTAAAACATTTAAAAGTGTCTCTCCTAAAATAGTCACATATTACCATATCTGGCCTGATGCTCAGGCTATATATCTTGAAATTCTTGACAAAATCCAAAGACGGGTGTCTAATATATCGAGCCTGATCTGGCATCTCGACTTCATCAATTTTACAATCGCGGTCACGTGGCTTCCCTATGTCTTTTCTATAAATATTTTCAAGGAAATTATTCAAAATTGCGTGATGTTAAGGCTACTACTAGATTGGCAGAGAGGTCTCATCATTTTACTATTGAAATAGCGAGATGTAACGGTAAGTTCTATTCTCACAGTTTCTTTACTCGAAATCTTCATCTGTGGAATACTCTTCTGGCTTCTGGCTTTTCGGTCAACTATGATCTTCAAAAATTTAAATGCAATGCCATTCGCCATGTTCTTCCTTCCAAAATGCTGTTTTTTTATTGTGAATTCTCCTCACTCTTTCA